ACACACGTCTCAGTTGCAGTGATGGATGCAGCTCTGCCAGCATCTTTGACACAGTGTAATATCAAAAAGCTTTTTAAAGACACAACGTAAACATCGTGCAGAAACAGGGTTCATGGGAAAAGAAGTATTTTTTTTTGTGTCCTAACATTTAAATGAGATCAAATTAGCAACTGACCGCACGTCAAACCCTGCCAACTGTTGGTTTTATCTGTTTGTCTTTGTACCATTAAGGAGCCATCGCTGAGTTATTTATTGGAGTTTAAAATGTTTTCATTGATTAAGAGTAAAAACAATATGAATAAACAGAGAGAGAGAGAGAAAATAAACGTTCAGTCAACCTTCAGCGCTCACACGTCGTGAATCTGGTGTCGTATCAGACGTGACTCCGTCAGTGAGCTTCATGCATGGTTTATTATGATTAGGTCAAACAACCTCCAGAATGACATGTCAGACATGTGATGACACACTGTGTAGTTATTCATGGTGTGTGTGTGTGTGTGGGGGGGTGGTGTTATCAGTTAAATCCGTACAGATGTGCATTCATGGTCTTTGTAATACTAATAACACCGAGCTGTCACCGTGAAGTGTCTGACGTGTGAGCACCAGGGGGACATTTTTATCGCTAAACTAATGATTCATTGGCACCGGCACATTGTCGCTCCACACTGACACCTAGGCAGCTGGTGATGACAGTGCAGTTTACTGCCTTTTTCCCAAAACTACACAGCGGTAGAGTGAAAATGGAGATATATATACTGTGTCAACTCTCTAAAGAGTTCTGGGAGAAGTTAGTCTCCAACCTGCGGCTAACCTTCCACAAATGCTAATTCTGGTAACTTGAATATAAACTGAATGGAATTTTACTTTGTTTACAGGAAAATCCATGGCTAAGCTTTGTAGTATTTGAAAGTAAACTTTTGTATTTAGATATAAAAAAAAAAGCCCCCAAAGTTCATTACTTCATAAGGCAAACGTAATAACAGAAACACAGAGAATGAAACCAAAGGTTTTTAAATATTTATAATTATGTGCTCATTCCCGTCCGTGTTCTTCTGCAGAATCTGGCCCCTGTCCAGTCAGCACAACCGTACACTGGGCCTACTGCTCTAAGCTGGCACTCACTAAGTCCTGAGTGAGAAGGTTTACGTCTCATTATTACGACATGAAAGAGTCCAAATGGAGCTCCATCCTGCTCAGTCGCCTCTGCAGCACTGACACTATCAGTGAGCCTGCAGCAGTGGCCTAATCTGGGGCTATTTCATGTTCCGCCACACACACTGCACCTCACCAGGGGACTTAGTACTAGCTTATATCAGCACTGATGCACTAATACAACCAGAAACACACACACGACGTGCATTAAAAAATACTCCCCCTGCTGCTCATGGGTCGTTACTGACCATATACTGAAGTATCTTTTTATTCTATCACATAAAATCAAAATAAAAGTTTGTTGATGATGTTTGCTCATCTCTCTGTGTAGATATGTTTGTGTGTATATATATATATATATACACAAACAGTTTATTGTCAAGGACTTTTCTGACTTTCCACAACTTGCCGTACGTTGTGGCCAAAGGCTCGACACTGTGTGTCAATCCATTAAGTGTAACCCTGGAGACGGCTGGAGGCTAAGGAGGTGACACACGACTAACCCTGACAGAGCTTATCTCCAAATTTCCAAAAGATTTTCGACGACAATCACAGTCTGCAGAATCACGTCAGTGACAATGACAATAATTTGTCTTTATTGAGCCGCAATTTTCAGCCGTCTGTCAACCTAATGGCAGTCATTGCTGGGTCTTCGGCGCTCCCTCTGTGTGTGTGTGTGTGTAGGCATGTGTGTGTGGGCGTGTGTGTGTGTGTGTGTCGTCTGTCAGAACTGCTTGATGCGCGGGGCTGCAGAGCCAGGTTTGTGTCCTTCAAATGACATAGAGAAAATAGACCCTGCAGTGCAGTGGATCGATGCCCAACCCTCCGACCTCCGCCCCCAAAATACACACACAATCACACACCCACACACACACACTTACATATTAAACATACTACTCATGTGCCTGAAGATACCGTTGGCTGCGTACATCAGATCAGTTCACCTCTGGTAGATTAGAGAGATTAGATTATTGTGTATTGTATCTGGACAAATATATTCAGCAACACAGGGTTAGTGAACCTGCTGACCCAGGGTTTGTTGCTGGTTTGTTGTACGATTATTTATTAACTAACCCTTAACTAACCTCCTTAAGGATCAACTTTTTCAACTCTAAGGTCCCTTAACTAACCTCCTTAAGGATCAACGGGTCATTTTGGAATAAATCTTTGGGATTTTTAAATGACTTCAGGGATTAGCAGGGAGGTGAGGGATGAAGCAGCTTTGTCTGGGCCATGATTTGGAGAATGACAGAAGTGATGAGGAGAGAAGGCAGTGGGTGGAGGCAGCATGTGGAGAAGGTGATGGACGGAGACCTTAAGGGGAGCTGTGGGCAGGAAGATAAGAAGAGTTTGGAAGTTAATGAGAGAGAGAGAGAGAGAGAGAGAGAGAGATGGAAAAACCAAGCAGAGATGGAACAGAGAGTTCTGTGTGGAATTATCAGCCGTATTATCAGCAGGTTTCCACCCTGTCTGTCTGTCTGTAGGGTCATGACACACATCTCCATCCACATCAACTGTTATCTGCTGTGTCTGTTCCACTGACACTGCACTTCCTGGTGCTGTTAAATATAATCTATAGATTTTAATTAGCACTTTGTTTCACGGAGAAGACGACAATGAATTTAATTCTAAAGTTCTAATTAAAACAACGACTTTATTAATTCCCACTACACCTGTGCATCTATTGAGAGAATAATAACACACACACTCTCTCACACACACCCACAGTAATCACACACACCTATCTCTCAGCCTCATCTCTCTCAGGCTCAGGTGAGAATGTCAATACAGTAATAATTGGCGCTGGTCTCATGTGGTGATGATTTGATCCTAGAAATGAAGGCAAGGACGTCAACACACACACACACACACACAGACAGACACACACACCGAGTTCCAGCTTGTCGTTCGTCTTTTCACTTAACACTCGTTCTTCTTTTCCCATGATACTTATTTCTGTTTTGATTTCAGCGTCACACTGATGTTTGTCTCTCTCGTCCCACCATCGCGCACCTCCCCCGATCTGAAGATTCTGTTTTCCCTCGAGCTCCCCTCGCCTTTCTCCGTTTTCCCTCGAGCTCCCCTCGCCTTTCACTCACACTAGGAAAAAAGATGTGAATTTTTATGCAAATCTTGTTGCGGCAGTTGAGATATCCAGTGACGTTCAGCTCAGATATCCACCAACTCACCATAACATCCAGACCAACGACAGTTAAAAAAATAACGGTGTTAATTCAGTTTTGTGTATTTCAGGCAAAACAAAAATCCAATCATGTTCAAATCTGATTCTGATCATATTTTTTAACACTGTTTCCACTGTTTGTTGGTTCAAATGTTTAGGTTTAACTTAAGCAAAAGCAACTGAAGATCAACCTCACCACTGCCTCTGTCCGTGGTGCTGACTAAAAGCAAATCACCACTGCCTCTGTCCGTGGTGCTGAAACACTTAGTTGTCCTTTACCAGAGCGGTTTCAAACCTCTTTTTGTACCAACGACCGATGGGCTGTTACTGCACTAAATTTAATATATAAAATAAAATATCTTTTAGTCTTTGTTCTGTTTGTATCAAAGTATCAGAATGTTATTTTGAAATATTACCACAAGTAAATGGAAATAAATTAGTAAAATTTAAGTTTTACATTTTTTCACTCTGTACCACTGTGCTCCAGTCCGTGGACCAGTGGTTGGAGACCCCTGCTTTACAAAGCAAGGAGAAAACATTGAACAGTCACCTAAACGCTACACGGCACACCTGCACCTTTTAACCAACTGTGTGTGTGTGTGTGTACGAACATGTGTCGGTGTGTGTGTGGTCCCCGCCCAGATATCAGCACATCCTCTTCCTGTTCACTCTCTCCTTCATTAGTCTGTCTTTTTCCACATCAGTTTCCCTTGTGTCTGTTTCCTTTGTGTGTCTCTGTGATGCTGCCGTCCTGTGTGTTCCCGTGTCTCCTCCTCCTTTTCACACTTGTTCCGTCTCCTTACACTCTGTAACTCTCTGTCACCTCCAGCTATTTTACACTGCTCGTCTCTATCTCTCCCCATCTTCACTAACACTTTTCCTCCTCTTCTTTTCCTCTTCCACAGATTGTAATATTGTTCATTTTATTCCACATTTCTCTGTTGACACTTTTTCAACTATATCTCAGTTTAATCTCCTCCCTCCTGTCCCCCCCTCTGCTCCCCCGCAAATCAGTGTTTGACTGTGTTTTCAGAGTCGGCCTCGTCTTCTTATTCAGTTTTTTCTCTGCACAAAAATCTTTGTGATGTAAAACCAGCAAAAAGCCCAGTTAGTAAGATCTTTCCTTCTGATCGCACACAAAAGCATGTAGCCCTGCATCTGTGACACCTACAGAAATGTTATTTAAAGGTCGTGATTACTTTGGCTGAATGTTAGTGAGAAAAAAACAAGTTTTAAAAACTTTATTTAAATTTGAAGTCAAGTGTAAATACCTGACTTTGTCACAAGTTAATAACATCCTGTCACCTCTAACGTTCAGTGTTCCCAGAACTATGTCCTAAATAAATTATTATTATTTTTACTTGTATTTCTGATTTACTCTCTCTCTCTCTCTTTAATTGGCCTGTAGGAATTAAAGTGTCTCATTAAGGATGATTAAAGGCTGACACGGCAAAATGGGAATTTTCTATTTCAACAAACAAACGCCTCATCCATCCATTTTTGTTTAATAGCTTCCCATGTAGGTACGTACTGTAATACATGTGGAATTTCAGAAAGTCTCATCACGTATTGATGAGGAAAGATTACACAAGAAAGGCCAAACTAGATGAGGTAAAAATGAGGATTTAATAGCAGAAGAGCACGAGAGAGAGAGAGAGAACGCTAATGAGCACCGTGCAGGGTGAAGAAGAGGACAGAAGAGTGTCTCACCACAGCGATAGGATAAAAGTTAAGCATAAAAAAAAAGAGAGAGTGTGTAAAAACTCTTGTGCGTTTGTGAAAGTGTTGCTGGAATAATGAAATATTTAGTCCACCCGGCCTGTGGAAAGTATTGTACCGTCGCCTGAGGGACACGCCTGCCTTTTAGGTATGATAATTATCTCTGAGAGCAGCTTCATCTCCAGGGTTTCCTGATGAAACCCTCCCTGGTGCTGCAGAGAAACAGGTTAGCGGTTGGCTACAGACACCAACATGTCAGGGGACAGTTCACATTCTGTCTGTTGTGTTTAATGACGAGGATAAAAGTGTGAGGCGACGGGGACCTTTGTCCTTGAAAACACGCCATCAGTCTTGTCACCAATGAGCCCTCAGGAAACACCGTGTGGCCACTAATTTGAGTCTCAATGCACTTAATAAGTGCAGGGTTATGTTGAGCAAGAAGTGTGTGTGTGGTAGTGAGAGAGAGTGAGAGAGGGAGAGAGAGAGGGTTCTGATGCTCCAGAGAAGAAGTGAGACAGATGGATAACAGAGCGCTGCCTCTGTGGTTCTGGACCTGGGGTAGTGCTAATTACATCTTGATTAAAAAATGACCTGTCTGTCTGATTGTCCATGTGCTGAGAGATAGACCTGAGACAGGTGTGTGTGTGTGTTACTCTACGATCTGTGTGACAGGAAAAACACCGGTGATGAATTACGTATATTTTTGGGTCCTGACGAAGTCACTCTGTGTCCATTAAATTCTCTTTTAAATTCTATCTAGAATTCACACCTCGTAATTCAATTTTTCTCAATTTTGAAAGGTCGCTCTGAGTCGGAAACAAAGAAAGAAGTGAAAGGAGATTCTTGAGACTAAGAGATGGAAAAACAAGTTCTTCAGAGAAGGTGAGTGTGTGGGTTTTGAATATATTTTGAGTAATTGTGGCTATAATGGATGAACTGGTTCTTTGTTTCATCTAAACGAGTAAAATCAGTAAAACAATTTTTAAAGTTAGCTTAGTGATGTAAAAAAAGGTGACAGAAAAGAAAATGAAAACAAAATTAAGCAAAAGTCTACCACTGCCTCCTGCGCTGCCTCTTTTGGGAACTCGAACTTGAGCAGGAACAACCTCCTCCACAAACCTTTGTTATCGTTAGAAAGATTTTGTTGGCATGTAAATGAACTTTGAACTCAGTACTGCCCCCAAGTGGATGTAATGATAGCACGACAACCCTGCCAAACGTGTCACACACTTGGGGACGTCTCGTGATTGAGTTTAAGTACTGACCGTTGTTGGAGCGCAGTGTTCTGGCGGAGATGCCGTTGGTTCCGATTGGATGATGAACCCCAGTCCCATCGACTGCTCCAGGCTCTGCTGGCTGCTTCAAGAGTTCCGTCAGTGTTCTGGAAGGAGAACGAAAAAACGAGCAAATCAGCATTTACAGTTAAGAAAGAGAAAAAGGGAAGTTCAACGTTGGACAAATGAGTGAGGAGGAGTTGGATGTGATGGAGAAGGAGCTGCGACAGAGTGAGAGAGAGAGATGATCAGAAGGAACATTACTTATTAATACTTGAATCCAAAGCAGTGGAGTGGAGGATAAAAAGACTCTGGATATTTGCCAAGCAAGACTCAGGATGCAAAGCCATTCTATTTATGGATATATATATATATATATATATATAAGATTCCAACCTTCCCACTTCCCATCTTTTGTTGTTTGATGCCTTTGAACAAGTTCTGACGCCTCTTAAAAAGTGGAACACAGGCAGGGAACAGGCTTGCAGCATGTATTAACTCTCCAGCAGCGCACACACACACACACACACAGTCTGCTGCAATGAACAAGGACTAGAACCGCACTGGGATTCAGATAAAGAAAATCTGCTTCATGTTAATCCACTACAATATTTGAAAGGCTTCAAACAACAACAATAACAAAAAAAATCTTCAATTCAAAGTAGTAACAAAAGGATATAGCAGTTAAAAACTAAAACAACAACTGCTAACTGTTAGTCAAAAAAAAACAAAAAAACACACAGAGCACAAATGTTGACAAAATCCAGTGTGATTCAATCCTTCTACTCATTGGTGCCGACTGGCTCCCCTAGTGACTAGTAACTCTGGGTGTTTGAGTTCAGGAAATGTCAAAGAGATTGGTCTTCCATAGAAAATTTCATTTTATTTTGTAAGGATGGTCTTGTTCTGTAATTGGCTGAGTGGTTTCCCATGTGTTTCAGGTTGAGTTGGTCAATATGACTGAAAGTGTGTATTTTTTTTATTGATTCACAAAATCTATAATGAATTTTAAGTCAATATCTGTGGCCTTATGAGCTTTAACATTTCCTCGCTCCAACCTTGACCGTCCATGGATTTGAGCAACATTCAATAGGTTCCTGTTCCTCCAGATGACCCAGAGCTTTAATTCCAGGCCGACTCTCTCTCTCTCTCTCTCTCTCTACTGTGAATCCAGATCAAACTTGAGCCCCATCAAAATCCAAGGACAATAATACCCCCCCTCCTCCGTGGATGTGATAAACCAAATACTGCTCTCGTATAAAACTTTTATTCCAGTTCAACTGTTGACCTCGTCTGTGATCGCTCCAGTCCTCGACCACATTAACATGGGCCACAAGTGAGATCTGGAGCAGCAAAGTGTCACCACTGACAAACAAATTATAGAAACACTCTCATCCAATCAGCTGTGACTCCGGAGCAGCCATCAAGACGTTTCCTCGCTGTTAATCTCGCTGTTGAAACCTTGGCACAACCTTCTGAAATGCACTGGAGCAATTGTCTTTTTATAGGCCTGCTGCTTAATGACTGCCCGTGGTCATGGGAGTAGCGTCGCATAAAAACATGAAAACCAGCACGACATAATGACATCCCCCCAAAAAAAGACTAGACCTCCAGATGAGCGTGTGTGAGGCTCGTAACTTTTTGCGTGAGTGTGTGGAAAAACTGGAATAAAATGAACGTAAACCTCGGAAATGCTAATGTAAAAGGTCATAATTTAGGATGACGGATTCAGACTAGGTAGTACAAATAAACCACAAAAACATTTGTTTAACAGGTAGGGAGGGGGGACGCATTTGGACAAGTGGGTCTAAATGATGAAGATGTCAAAGTGTAAAGATAAGGATGAGGAAAATTCTAATCCTAATTATAAAAACGCAGCAGTAAACTGAATCCTCAGCTAAGAATCATTCAAATATTTCTGTCCCATTAGCTGGGCGACTGGTAACAGATTAGTGTTTTAAGATAAATATAAATAAATGTCCCCCAAAGGGTGGTGGTGGGGGGCGCAGCTTTAACTACTTCTCTATCCCAACTTCTTTTCATTTTGCTAAAGTCATCAAACTCAAAGTAATAATCAGTTGTGAGTTTCTGCTCCGTTAACGAGCGTGCACCTCAGATGCTACGGTATTATAGATTTCATCATATTTTCTATCAAGAATTACTGCTTGATAGAAAGTTTGTGGTATGTTCTGTGATATACTTCAAGAAATGGAGTTTGTTGTGAAACTAAGACGAGGAGTAAAGTGTTTACAGTTAAAGAAAGACGGTGAACACCAGGTAAACAAGGCACTTCAGTAGTAGTTTCTCTGTGCAGTGGTTGTTGTTGCTAAAACATGTACAGTCTAAGACAGCGTCACTGCAGCTAATGCTGCTAATCAGTTCAAACCTGACACCTAGAAACGGCTGGTGTTTTTTTATAGACCAAAACACACACACACTCCCGTCAGTGCATCCCAGTTGACCTTTGCGTTTTCTGCTCGCTAACCAATCAATTTTCTCCCTCTCGTCTCATTAATATCTGTCCACATCCATTCCTCCACTTCATTTGTCTTCCTTTCTCTCTCATCTCGTTCTCTATGGTCATAAAGTGACCTGAAGCTCTCTCTCTTTCTCTCTCTCTCATATCTTTCCATCCGTCCTCCACTGATCTGGTCTCTTTCATCCTCTCTACCCTGTGAATTTCACTTGTTACCACCCATGTTGTCGCTCACCTTTGCCTTTCTTCGTCTCACTTTCAACTTCTTGCTCTTAAATCCAGCGCTTCTCAGTGTTGGTTTAAAACAAAATAACAAGCTTTTTTTTTTTTTTTACCTGTCTCTGCTGTTGTATTTTAAGTAACACCGTTTTCTAGTTCCACACCACTGTAATCATGTCACACACTGCTGTTTTCCTCAGTCCCTGCTCATGTAAAGGAGGAGCCATGAATGAGACGTCACTGTAATATAAATAAGGTCATTTCTCCAAAATCTCTCCTCAGGCCTTATATGCAGTTCTAAATCACAGCATGACCTTTAACTGTGATGTTTCAGATCTTTCTCTGCTGCAGTGCAGCGACTGATCAGAGTTTGATAGAATTATAAACCAACTGCAAATACCATCGTCTCAAGGAGCTGCAAAAGTACCAAGAAGTCCACTGTCCAAATGAAAACCTGCGGAGATGAAAAGGACTTTATTGGATTGAACTTTTTTTAACCCATTTTTATTTCATTTGTGATGTGATGTTTTCTTAGGTTGGCTTGAAATTTCAAGTTTTTTCCAGGCTTTACTGGGTATAGATGATTTCCAGAGCTTTCCGACTCTGAGACCCCGCCACGGTTTGGTGTTTGTTCGAGGTCATTTAGTTTGTCGAGGACTGCTGAGCGCACGCGGCAGGCTCCTGCATGATTGGCCTCTCAGTTAGAAAGTCAAGTCTGAGCGGGGGCCACTTAAGGTTGGAGCTAACGTTGACTGTTTCTCCTCTGAGGGGCTGTGAAACAGAAAGAATGAGACGCGAGAAGCGTGGACCGTGAATTTACTGAGTCCCCGATGAAACTATAGACCAGGGATGGGAATAATAGATCCTCCTTAATGAATTTCATGACATTTGTATTCACGTGCTGCCAGGGATGGGCCTCATTTACAGTTAAATTACTAGAAAATGGATTCTTAATGTGATGTCGGGCAGGATGTGAACTAATGAGAAGCCAGTGTTCACGAGCTGAGCTCTCACTGAATCCCAAACAAAAGAATATTCAGGACATAAAAATAAGTTATGAATGGTTTGGTTGACCCCCCCCTCGCCTCCCTCACCTCCTCGACTCCCTCGTCATGCCCTTTCCAAAAAAAGTTAAACCTGAGTGTAACTAAACAAAAGTGCAAGCCAAACATTTGCTCCTTAACATTTCTGTAGAGTCGGACTGTCATCACGTGAACTATTTTTAGTTAGCAGCAGTTAGTGAATCGTTTAGACATCCATAGAGAAAAACAATTAGCCTCTGAAAACTGCACAGATATTCAGTCAGCATGAAGCTCCTGAACATGTGGCGCTTAATTAGACTGTGACAAGTCAACAGTGTCTTCATCAAATCCACTCTAATTTTAGACGGACCGTAGCAGATGATCCAGCTGTTAAAACCCAATGGAAGTGTGTAAAATAGTGAGTAAACTGTAAGAACAATAAGGAAATGGGTGTAAGATGATGTTGGATGTCCTCTTAAAATAATCTAGAATAGAATGGTCTTTATTGTGTTGTATCACTGTTATATAACAAGACAGAATATCCAATGACGTCAACAAAGTAGTGATTTTTCTCCCATGATTTAAAGCGTCTTGTTTTGGCAACTGATACAGATTAATGTTGGATTATTAAGAAGGAAAAAAAAATCAATGGAAAGAAAATATGATGTTAGCCAGCTTTCAGCAGTGGGAATCTGTCTGGTAGAAAAGTGTATCATTTTGCACTATTTTTTTAACATAGTGTGTACACACGCCATCTGTCAGACATCTAATTTTTCTTCATACATCCCCAATCCAGCCTCCGGGAACATCTCGGAGTTAAATGTCTGCCCGGGGAAACTGGCATGTGATCCAGTGGATTCTAAAATCGAACCGCTGACCTTTCTGTTGGAAAGATAACACTCTAACAACTGACGCTGATCCTCCCCAAATAACCAAATAAATAATTAAACTGGAATCACAAGCCTGGATGAAAACACACTGACATGAAGCAAAAACAAGACGTTGGCTCAGTCGTTCAGTCGTATTTAAGTATTACTCGCTCCAAAAATGACACCACTCCAGTACTTTTAAAGGTGTTTTGTGTTGTTGTACAATACAAGAAAATATCCTGGGTCATGAAGTAAGGACTAAGGCATTTACTTTGCACACAAACACACAAACACACACACTCGCTCGCTCCCCTGGGCCTGTAGCACAACGTTCTGCAGCTGAATCACTCTTCCCTGTCACAGCAGGTTAGTTTCTATTACAAGGCCTCCTGCAGATGATTCCAGGGGCCACAGTGTGGAACCGAGCACAAACACCAAACTGTGCTTTTATTAAACAGTGACGCCGTGTAATTCCATGCTGCTCGTTGCCACCTACAGTTCTGCCAAACAAACCAAAACAAAAAAATTCAAATCCTGCACCCTGATGCCAAACAGAGGCTGCCGGCCGGGACTGATGCTCACAGCTGCAGCTCGCCGGCGCTGCCTAGAGGGAGTTCACTGATCCGACGCTGCAGTGACTCAGCCTTTAATTCACACGGGGCTAATTTAGAGAGGTCACAGTGGTGGAGGGAGTCAGAGGAAGTGAACAGTTGAACAAGTTTAAATACCTGAGGTTATCTGTGTGGGTGAGGTGATGGGGGGGCAGCAGGAGTCAAACAGGATGTTGATGAGACGACAGTGAGACGGTCTCAGAAAGAATAAAGGGAACCAATCAGAGGAAGGAAGACTTTGAAGCAGTTTGGAGATAATGTTAGGACGGAGTGGGTTAGAGTTCGATGAATAAAAGACGGAGACATCGGATGGAAACACAGTTGGGTAGATGTCACCGAGAAGGATGTAACAATAGAGAATACAGGTAGATGGAGTAAGATGGTCCTGAATAAGGAAGAATAAGGAGGAAAAACAGAAGAGTGGAAGTTGAACATGGAGGAGATCATGAGAAAATGGAGAAGAATAAAATAAGAAAAGTGTTGATGGATTTAATGGGTCTCTGTTTTTGTTCTGTTGACACGTTGATTTAGTTACCAACGAGTAACTAAATCAATGAATAAATAAATCGAAAACCTCCAGGCTAAAAAAATGTTAAAATCAAAATGAGTAAATTTGTGCCATACTCTGTTTGTGTTAATTAGAAATGTGACACAAAACAAAACTGACGGATCTTTGTTCCAGTTACAATCCTCCTGCAGAATCTAGGACACAGTATTTTTTAGAGTGTTTTGTTGTCATGTGTGTTCTTGTTATGCAAATTATGTGTTAAAAGTCATAGTGCTTACACACACACACACAAACAAACACAGTACATCTAGCTGCCAGATAGTGCACCCCTGTAGTCCTGGTCCTGAGCCTAAGTCTGGTCCCTCACTCACCATACTGGACCCTACAGCTGCCAGTTCATGTCCCCTGGCCTGACTGGACCTTTTCTCTGCCAGTTCTTTTTTGTGATATTTCACGATGATAAACTGAATGCATATATTTTCCTGAAAAAGTCTCGTCTAGAACCGTCATATCTAATTTAAAATAATTGTTAATGTTACACTATTAAGGTTTATTGTTAGGAGAAATGCAACAAAAACAAAAAAAGTTTGATAAAAGGAAAGGTTTAAACCGAACCTTTTATTTTTGATGAATAACAAACAAATAATGACTTTTTTTTTCTTCCTCTCACCAATTGTCCAGGCCTGGAGGTCAAGCATTGACACACTGTAAATGGAACGAACAATCAGGCAGCCAGATAGAAAAAGTAAAAATCGGTGCCAGCCTGTTGGAAGGCTCCCAGTGCTAAGTGCTGCAGCACTGTTAAAATGATGTCACAGAAAAATACCATATGTCAACTCTGAGTCACTGCCTGCACTATCATTATTTTAGGCTGCCTTTATTTTAGAAACAACACACACACACACGCAAGGCCAAGAGCAATCGCAGAAATGCAAGAGCTTCTCTTGTTCTCAAACATTTATCAGTGACACACACACACACATATACACACACACACAGCGCTCTTTACTGTCTCCGCTCTCTGAAGGCTCTGACGTTATTGATGGCACACAGCGACCCAGTGTGCTCTGGTCTCATCATCATTCATCATCGCGGTGATAAATAGACAAAAAGTCTTGATCTGTTTGGTTATAATTTATAGATATTTTTTACTGTCAACACAGCTTGAACAGATCAATAACAGGAATCAATCAGTGATTGTTGACTTCAGACTTCAGACTGCGCTCACCTCTGACCTTTAAAACAACAACTTTTTTACAGTCAGTTTAGACTTCCCAGGTCATAAACTGTAACTCAGAGCGACAGAGTGATCTAAAGTGTCTTTGACTTTGTGGTCAGTGGAGGTACTGCAGGTGTACACTATTTATTATAGGCCTGTGTATTATGTGAAAAGCTGGGTATTAAAAGGCAGAAAAACTGCATTTATACATCATCAGTGGTAAGCATACCACAGTTTGAGAACCGCTTCTTCAGGGTATTTCTAATCATTTATTTTTTTCTCTCATGTATTTAAAAAAATCAAAATCAATAAAGACTCTAGACAGAGAGTAATATAAAACAATCTAATAATTTATTGTGGAATGGAGGAGAGAAGTGACCGGACCACAGAGACATGAGACGCAGGGACAAGATATTGAATTTGCCTCCTTAAACATAAAATGTTCCAGACTTTGAAGTGAACCAGCTCAGGGGTCGGAGGGGCAGGATGAAGGAATCATGGAGCTCAGATCTCCCCAGGAGAGACTGGGCAGGGAGGTGGGAAAGATCATCTGATCTCAGGGAGAAAAGATGATTTAAATGAAAGTAGAAAAATGTCATCGTTGGACAACAGAGGGAAGGAATAAAAGGTGCTTTAAAAGAATTAGGGACCTTGAAAAGGCAGTGATTCATATCTGCCTGGAAAAGAAATAGCTGAGCATAAAGATGATGAACGATTGGACGAGGCGACTTTTGAGGAAAGGAATTTTTAAGAATCAACGAATGACGGGGCAACGGGGAAGAAAAAAAAGATGTGAATGTCAGAGTCTGAGAACTATTTCTGTCTGTTTCAAAGGCAGCATGAATTTGCTGACAGTGATCAGTTCTGACAGCTTCAAGTTGTGATGTAAAACAGTTCCAGGATTTCTGCTATATTGTTTTCAAGTGTCTTAAAATTCAGTTTTTCCTACAGTTGAAGAGAAAATTAATGAGTGAGGTGTTTTTTACTCTTTGTGGGAGATTTCCTTCTGATTTGCATCCTGTACCTTGGGGTCAGAGTATTCCCCAATTATACTACAAATGAGGTCACGCTGGTGACCCCACTGTGAGTCATGTGACTCACACACATGTACAATGATCTCCTGGCTTGACTGATTTGCTCCATCTCGTGAGTGAGGGTGTACTCCACAGGATGGAGCACATCATTGACTCCAATCTATCAACCTGTCGGCCTTCAATACTTTTAATTCCATTAAAACCACAGACCACGTCCTCCATCCCGAGGTCCTTTCTTCCTCCCCCCGCCCCCCACGTTGCTTCATCCAATCTCCTCATCCCACTGTTCTTCCTCATCGTCTCTTACATGTTCTGTGCCCCTGTGTTCCTCATCGTCTCTTACATGTTCTGTGTTCCTCAGAGTTACATTTCATCAGGATCATTTTACATGTGACCTCCGTCTGTTCTGCACCTTTGTGACTCAGGCGCGGAGGGGTGGGGGGTGCATTAGTCCTGTCTTTGTAGCAGCACTACCACATAGTTCAGTGTTATTACACCGCCTCTGAGCCAAGAGTTATATAGAAATGTAGAGTCAATATCCAATCTGGGAAATATAAATGGAATATATTTTGCTTTGTTCCCAGGGATATTTGATTTTGAAGCTGAGGTGGATTGATGATCTGACCGTGTGAAAAAGTTAACCTGCTCACTTGTCTGTCCGTATCCTAATGACGGTTCATCTCCTCCACCAGTTCCTCCGTCGATGGTCCCACATTCTCGCCCTCTGTCTCCACTGTGTCCTGTCTCTAAGAGCAGCCTGGCTGACTGTTTTCCTGTCACCTCTCTCCTTCATGTCCATCCTTCCTTCATCGTCTCCTCACTTTGTCACATGGTCTCGTTTCATTCCCTCTCCTTGTTCTGCCTTCATGTTACGTGTGCAGTTTAAACGCGCTTAGCTTCACCTGTCAGCTTAGATCAGGGCTGTGGAGCAGCAACATCACAAACTGTCCTCTGATTCACACACACACACACACACATATATAGGCTTTAGTCTTTTGTCTTCACACATGCCTGGGATTACTCTGTCTGATGATAGTGATTTAAAGGTAAACACCCCCTGTTTTGTCTCCCTGTCTGTCAGGTGAACTCATCTTGGTTAAGACGTGGAAACGAACACCGGACTTCCTCCTCGTGACCCTGAAATGGTCCATTGATACAACGTAAGTGATACTCAGCCACTGGGAATAGTACACGATTTGTAGTAAATATCTGCAGTGATAAGATGTAGTAGTAATACGTTATAGCATCATTTTCAAAAAGAATTGATTATTATCTAAATGCCTCAGGTAGAAATAATAATTATTATTATCTTTTGCAAATGCAAGTCATTCATTCCTTCTCCAGCTTCATCAGGGGTCAATAATTATATTTGTCGGAGATAATTTTCTTTATCAGTACACGATATATCCTCTTTGATTGTCACAATTTTAGAACCCAGTCGTGGGCCGGATTGGACATTTCCTTGGGCCAGATTTGGTCTGCGAACTGCCAGTTGATGATCACATATTAGCTGCATATTAGCAGCGGTTCAAACAATTGAGATGAGTGCCTGGATATATCTTTACATAAGACAAAATGTATCGAGGGGTTACTAGGCAACATCTTGAAAGCATCTTCTTACAATGAAACACATGGAGTAATATGTCAACACATTATAACTGTAACCCACCCCTTATATTGTAGACTGAGCCAATTTGAACTTAGCTACTTTTCCATTTAAATTAACCTCGACATTATCCCTGCATCCGGGGAGTGACCATGATGCATGGAACAATTATCTACATGTTGATGCAGCTTTCCTTTCCCTCCATCACTCCATATGGAAGCAGGGGGAGGCATTGATTGGTCGCCTTGCAGAGGGTCCTATAGCTCTAAGAGAAAAGCAGGGCCATAAATCCACTTAATGGCTGGAGATACTAGCATGAGCTAAGCTGGCGGGATGCTCATCGCTAAGAAATAAATGCTGGCAGACCACATACACACTTACACACACACAGGCACTCTCACATTAAGGAGGGAAGTAAACAGAAGAAAGTACTTCATTATATAAAGCTGGCTTTTGAGCTCCTTAATGCCTGTACACTTACAGATGCTAACGGATGGATTTTATTTACATATTAATATGCTGGCAAACTTTAAACAGAGCTAATTGGGGTTTTTTTTTTAGTCATTAAACCTCTAATTGTGACTCATGTAAACAAATGTACAAACCCAGCCTTTCTGTAGTTCACACATGTTGAATTAAAGAAACTGTTCTTGTTTTTATACACTAAAATAATGAAAGACTGAATTAAAGTTGCTAAAATACAGGTCCGCATGAAATCAGGCCGCGGCAGTTTTATTTTGCTGACAGTTGAATTTAATGGTTGTTTTAATCTTTTTTTTTCTAATATCAGACAGGACGGCTTTTTAACTCTCGACTAAAAAAGAAACAAAAGAATAAAGAAGTAAGACAAGTCGGATTCTTGTTGGATTCCTAAAAAGAGTCGTTGGTTTGCAGCTCGGGGTGTCAGCACTTTGCAGTGAAAAACTGCTTCCTTCACTGACAATTGAACCAGAGACGGAATACTTGATATATATTGAAGCTTCTGCTGTAAATGCTTCTGTAAGCGATATTTTTACTACTCTCTGATGTCTCATGGAGGTAATGTCATTCAAGGATTTATTTTAAAATTTGGGCAAAAGGTCGGATTACGCCAGTGATCATCAACTGGTGGCCCGCAGGCTGAATCTGGCCCTTCGAAACTGTCCAATCCGGCCCAAAACTGGATTCCAAAATAACTGTTACATAATGATGTGATTTTTATTTCATTTTACTTTGAGTGTCTGGCCCTCAGGCCGTCTGTCCAGAAGAATTCTGGCCTCTGACAAATATAGTTGGTCACTGGGTTGCCAAACATTACAAATTCTTCATGTCAAATTTCTTCTGTAAAATATTAATAAAAAAAACAAACATGTTATTGAACTTCAACTGTCGATTACTACAGTTAACATCTGGATTTGGTCTGAATCCACCTCCAGGTTCTGATATGTATGCAGCACATCCAGTCTCTGTGAAGATTTATCGGACTCATTTGAACCAAACTAAGAGGCGACAGGAGCCGCGTGAGTAGAATGTAAATGCCTCCATACATTTCACACTGATAAATAGCAAATGGAAAGGAGTGGAAAAGGCTGATGAATGAGGGTGGGAGGTTATGAAGAGGAGTGGAGCCAAAAACAAAAAAAAAAACAACGAGGAGGGTAATTAGGACGCACACAGGAGACAGACTCACGATACAATTCTTTTGTTAAACGTGTTGTGTTAAGGTGAAGGTATCATAACGTAACCATCAGAAGTCGTCACTGCAGAGAATGGTTTACTCACATTTACCCTTAAAACATGGTTAATTTTACAAACAACATGAAGGATCTCATTCATGTGCACTGTTTGTCACAATTTTATGTTTTAAAAAATTGTGTTTGTCACAATTTTATGTTTTAAAAACCGTCATAGTTTTTGCTAATGTGTATTTTGCAACTCGTTAAAGTGACTGACTCGTGCATTACCGCCACCACATGGTGGAAAGCTGCATTGTAACTAAGCTTATCGTGGCTAACATATCTCTGGTGTCAGAGTTCAGTGCAGTCGTGCAGCCCACATGGGAACTGGAAACTTTTTGTGACCCACTATGTGTTGCTGGCGGCCCAGCCTTGGGCTGCAATCCTGTGGTTAAGAATCACTTATACTGTATTATGTTGTTGGTGCAGTGTTGGGTGTGTGTGTATAGAGCAGGCGGTGATAAGTGGTGGACAGTGTTTATGTTTGTCCTCCCCCCTTACCTCCTCCCCCTCAAGTACTTTCCTCTGAACGACTTCCTGCTCTTCAACCTTAGACCTGAGTCCTTTTATCCCTTGATCTGTGGTGTGTGTTGGGGTCAGTCGTGCTCCCCTGACTGGGAGGCTCCGGGCAGCCCGGCAGCCAGCCCGGGGCCCCGGGTGTCTGCTGGTGGTCACTGAGTGGGTGGTCTGGTTAATTGGACAGGATGACTTTGTCCAGCTGTTTGTAGGATTCAAACGTACAGTATGGACAGTATGGACATCATGGACCGAGACACAGAGAAACAATGGTGAGAACTGAACAATGCTGGATGTTAGCCTGAGGAAAAATGACCAGGAGGGATGAAGAATTTATAGCAGGAAGGACGACAAGTGGGGGGTGAATATAGGGGATGAAAGTGATGTGTTTAAAAATGAATGAATGGAGAGGAAAGAATAGGAGAGCGTTGGTGTGAGTGTTCTGACCGCTGCTGTGGCCGTGGTGTTGAAATTAGAACTTCACGGCTTCCTGTCATCTTCCACTGAGACTGTGTTATTTACCAGCAGTTGGGTTCTGATGAGGTCCAGCTCAAGGACGAGACCTCAGAGTCTGTCTTCACTGCTCTCACCTGTGTCTCTCTTATTATTATAAAACTAGCCTTCAATGTTTGGATCCTTTAGTCTGGGTTACATTGACCTTGTGTGACCTCAAACTGTAACACGGGTCGTTTCAGTTTTTAATAAAGGACCAGGGCTGCTGTAATAATGATACAAAACAATAAATCAAAACAATTCTTACAATAAAATATTCCAAACAAATTAATTCCTTCAATCCAGTGGATTTTCTCTGCCCCTGAATTTTAATTGTACAGAAATATATTTGTGGGAATACTGTGACAAATTTCAAAGTGGAGAATATTTTATTGGTTCCCTAGGAGGCAGAAGGAGCCGCTGTAATCAGTCTCACAACCTCAAAGTGATCCGTCTCTGGGAAAAACAACTTTCTTGTTGTCATTGTATCACTTTATCTTTTATATCTCTCAAATAAACAAGAAGAAATTCTGCCTGGAGCCAAACATTCTGATCACTGACTAATTGAGTTCAGCGACAATACCAAGATATTTTGATTCTCCGTGTGCTAAAAAAAAAGTCAGAATTTGTAATTACAGTGATCAACTCTTGAGCTTTTATCAGATGATCGAGAATAATTAAAAGCAGTTTGAAACCACTTATGTTTTCAAATAAAATCATACATGTGAAAACAGTGTGTACAAATGTGCAGAAGCAACATTTGACCAAACTGAAACAGAATGATTTACTCACTGGTCGTTGTTGTGAAGAAGAACTGCGTAATAAAGTGTAGAATTTGTCTAGTTTTTATGAGAGGAAGATAAAGCAGCAGCTTCTCAGTCCAAACAGTGAGAGATTACAGCAGAGATCGGTCTGAACTGCACTTTATTATTGAGTTGCTGTTTAAAAATATCCGTTGTGTTTGTGTAAAGGCTAACGTATGCCGAAACCTAAGAAAACCTCGAGGTAAACATGGCTGAGAGTAATACAATCCATGTCGTAGTACGGTATGAATACGATCGCAGTGTTTGTACTGCTGTCAGATACAGGTATCGTGTGGCCGCAGCTGGAGTAAGTTCTAAATCTGAACATCAGCTGCTGACTGTAGTGTCTCCGTCTGCGCTGGCAGCAGATTTGATTTCACGTGCGTTCTTTAATCACCTGAGATCAGGAGGAAATGAGCGGAGAGGAAGGAGACGAGGAGGCGATTGACAGGAAATCAACAAGTTCAACAACATTAAAAGAAGCGGGAAGGTGAAAAGAAAAGTCAAGGGCAGAGTAAAGGTCATCTTCTCTGCTTCATCCTGACCCTGAGTCTACATTTGTTTAGGTTAGGAAGGAAAATACGCGTGAAATAGAAAGAGAGGGAAACTGTTCTGAGTTAGGGTTATGACGGCCTCTGGTTTCTCTTTTCTAATTTAAATTAAAACATTAATTAAAAATAAAAATGTGTTCTTTGTAAATGTTCTTCAGAACAGAGGTCTCTCTATGAGAGCGGCCATGTTGGATTTCTACACTGTTTTTTTTTCATAGTATTGTGCTTTAATCGCAGTTAAAGTTTAATCACAGTTAATCTTGTTAATATAACAACGTTCTTCACCAATAAGTCAGACAGAGAGAGACAAGGTTTGCTCTGAGATAAAGATATATGAAGATAGCCGATGTGGATGGAGTTGGAGAGAATCAGAAAGTGAAAAGATGCCGACACGAGGACAAGGGTCTGACCAGCCACGGTCAACCCACCGTGGAGACGCTTGTTACTGTTTGCGCTCGAACAAACAGCTACATGTAAAGTTGATTTTCTGTCAGGGCGACTTGGAGCGAGCGTCCGTCCAAAGCAGGACCAGACCATTAGCAGGATCACTGAAGTGAAAATGGAGCCCACGTTGAGCGGCACGTTCAACTGCAGTACAAGTGATGTGTACACGCAGTAACACAACACAGCAGTAAGACAACAGAGATGGATGACAATAGTGCCACACACTGGTAGAACCAATGCTTCTCTTGTTAACGGTGGCATTCTCTGAATTGTTTTATCAACTTTTTTACTTGCATTGATCGAAATAATAAGTGGCATTCTCTGAATTTTTTTACTTGCATTGATCGAAATAATATTCTTAGAGCAGAGTATTATGTTGTCATTGAAGTAACTGGGCTCCGTTATTTGGTTATGGACGGTTGGATTTGGAGAAATATGTGGATAAAAATACTTGGATAAAATTCAGATTCTGCTTTGGACTTTGGTCCAACAGATTTGACACGTTGGCCGATGCTGATGGGAGACGAGACAGGATTGGGTCAGTGGAGCTCTAAAGACCACATGGCCACGGGAGCGTCACTGACGATGTGTCCCAGAGAATCTTGTACAGATATATTTGATCCAATCTCAGTAAAAGGTGATGGGAAAAAGGAAAGTGAGGAACAAACGACTTCACGCCGTTGAATTAAATCCCATAAAACCACTGTAGGAAATATAATAAAGGATTTGTCAAGGTCGTTCAGTACGAAGTTTCATTCTAAAGAGAAGAATGAGATATTACAATACTTTTTGAAATAATTAAAATATTTCATTAGAATTCATTACACATATTTTAAACCCGTTTTTTTTTTTTTTAATAACGTGGATCTATCTTTTTCTTCATGTTAAATGCAGCGATGCTCTGTGCAGTATTCTCCTTTGGACGATGGGTTTTTAATGTGAAGTTGCTGCAGAGGCATCGAGGAGGATGGGACATGAATATGGAGGAGATGAAATGACTGGATGAGGACAGTGTTTATGGATAGAGCCAGGATTAAGAGATAATGGAAATCAGCTGAAGCTAACAGTGGAGCTGGGAGGAAGTTCTGCAGTGATTTGTCTCGGCACAATCTGCTGCACTGGGTTAAGGTGTGGAGTTACAGTTGATAACACACACTCCTCCACAACACGGTTCACAAGAACCCGACCTGCACCAACATCTGAGCAGGTGTCAGAATAATAAACAGGAAGAAGGAAAGTCCTTGGTGTATGACGTCCTCGACCTGTGGCGTTTCACCGTCTACATTTACATTTATTAGGGAAGTCTTGTTTCCTCATTCCGACAAGGAACAAGAGGACAATAAGGAATTCCACGTGTTTTCCGTGAGCTCTTCCTTGCTGTTCTCTGTTCCGTTTTCCTATATATTTTTGCGATATGTGTAATGCGGTTGTATATAGGTTCCGGCTTACGGCAGGAATCCGAGTCACACCACCACTAGAAACCGACTCATGTTGTAAGTCGAAGACCCCGAGCGATACTAAGTCCTAAGAAACTCTTCGACCCATGTTGTAAGAAGACCCTGAGCGATACTAAGTCCTAAGAAACTCTTTTTTTTGTACAAACCAGGTCATTATTCTGAGGAACTGTTTGATTTGTTCACACATCACGCGTTAATCGACCTGTCCCTGAGCCGGATGACGACTCGGTCTAAACGGGTGAAAAAGATTCTCAACTTCCCGCAGTGATCAGTCATAATAAATAAATGTTCGTTTGGCCGCCGCTGTAATCGTACCGGAGAGGAGGGGGGACGGGGGGGCTGCGTCCACATGTTTATCTGCGGGCTCTCAACACCTGTCAGCGGCGATGATGAAAAGCGCCACCGTGGGCCGAACAATAACGGAAACAGAGAGCATTGTTGATGAAACACAATACAGTAACGGAACAGAATGGCCCCTGGAAGTGGTTGTTCAGATCCCCCTGTGAGTCATTCAATCCTCCCTGCCCTTGAACACACGGCCCCTTCGAGGAATAACTTATGATAAGTGGAACAATGCTGTTAAGGGGAATGAGCTGTTTGTGATTCTCTGCTCCGTGTGTGTGCGTGTGTGTGTGTGAGGGAGAGGAATCGCTATAGATTTGTCGATATAAAGTGGACAACAAACCCAAACTAAGAAGCACTAAAGCTGCCTCTCGGTGATCTGTGTGACGCTCCAAACATCGTCAGCTGTGTTTCTGAGGTCAGTGATGAAGGTAACGGCACAGTACTCCTCCTCCTCGTCCTTCTACACTCCTCGTCACATATAAAATAAACCCCCTGACTTACAGGGATATTTGAAAACTCAATCCCAGTAAATGGAAAGCACAGTTTCTAAAACACATCCCATATTTGGTGATACTGTGAGACATGGGCATTTGTATTTTTTTTTTGTTAATAGTACTACTACCCCTCTTTCTCAACGGTACCAGCTACATGACGAATATCCCAGAGAGTCGCCTGTGTGACGTCTTCAGACTTTTTTTTTTTAACTTTCACCTCACGATAATCTTGTTGTGCGTCTCATTGACCTACACCGTGTCTGTTTGCTTGTTGTACAGTGTTTAAACTTTCACCGTGTCTGTTTGCTTGTTGTACAGTATTTTAACGACAACCGTCGTTACGCTGACTGCACTTGTGCATCACTTAAAATTCCCAACAAATGCAAAATATTTATTAGCCTTTTTACCCTTTCAGCGCCCACTTGATGCTGACCCTGCTCACAGCAGCTTTAATTAACGCCCGGCTTTTAAAAACTCTCCGTCTTTTGGCTTTTTCCTGTGGTTTATTGTCTGTAAATGGCCTAATGCAGCAGTGGCTGTGTTTTCAGCTGAAGTTCTCACCTACAACGACATCTTCCTACGTCCTGTGTGGAGATTATTCATGAGCACAAACCTTAATTGCTTTGGCTTTGATTACTACAGCTGCAGTACGTGGGGGGGTGGAGGGGTAGGAGAGGGTGTGGTGGTCCTGAAGCCAGGCACCAGTGATCCTGCTGGAAGCACACTGAGATTTACTGATGTTTGAAGACTTGCTGATGCAATAGGTCAGCTTTAACGGTGGAAAGTCTCCGAGCGAAGCGGAGGGTGTTAACCTACAACATGATTAATATTAATGCGCAAAACTGAATCGTCAACATCAAAGGCTACATTTGAATTAAAACTTCTTTTTTTTCTTTGCAGCAGTTTTTTTACACGCAGACTGAGGGCAAAATACAAACGGGTGTTTTTCTGATGAGAAGAAGAAATAGTTGGAGGTGGAACAGTTGAAGAGATGCAGTGGGGTTTGAAAGTGAGGGTGTCTGTGGGGGTGGGTTGGGGGAATATACATGTATCATTGCGTTGATGCTTTTTGTGACCCCAGGTTTCAGCTTTCTGGCATGACACAAACACACACACAGTTGTTTCAGCTTTTTGGCATGACACAAACACACACACAGTTGCAGCAGAAGTGGAAGTGTGTGCAGGTAGAAAATTTAAATTTGAAATACATTGTCTTTAAACTCAGGATAAACAGCACGGCTCCAAGAGGCTTTTTGTAGTTTTATGTTATGGTATAATTTGTGATTCAAATCCAGTTGTGCAGATTTTAATATGGACTTTATGTGAAGGCAGTCACAGCCGACAACGTCGTGTATACAGTATTTCATGGAAATAAATCCGCCGCTCGTCGCAAAGATTAGTAGATGTTTTAAAATGCATCATAGAAATTGCATCAAAAATAAGCTGCACATCACTGTGATGGTTTTTGTATAATGTATATTTATATACTTATATGTTTATATATATGATGGTAAGCAGCTCAGAGAGTTGTAGGAAGTTATAAAACTCACATTTAAAAAGCACCTGCTCCTTTCTTAGGAAATATGTCATAACAACATGACAATGTCATCATGTATAAAAGTGCAGCGTTTGGGTCTTTTTTGGGGCATGTTGTAAAAATGGAACTCACGCCACAGCTTTATTTCCATAAAGTACGGTTTATAACCCATGTAAAATAAGCCAAAAAAAAAAGTTTTTACAAAAAAAGTGTTATTTATTGCATTACAAAGGTGTTCTTAAAAACGCTCCCATGAGTGAAATTGTCTTTTAAAGTACTCTTGAAAGACTTGTTCCAACCATCATTATCCATGCTGCCTGATCACAGAGCCAACCATCTATCCACAGCTGTCACCGCCGACTCAGCAGAAATGTAACAGCTTAGCCCTTCACTCATCGCCACTTCCTGCTCTTCTGTAAAACGTTCCCACTCCACCTGCGTCCCCTCTCGGCCCTAGGTTTTAGTCCACTGTTTTGGCTGCACCACATAAAAATGTGTTGATGTGAAAGTGGACGTCTTTGCAAACGATATTCATTTCCGTCCCTGCTGACCCTGGGATGATAATCAATAAATCCATCACTCACACGATGAACGAAAATGAAGTCGATCATTTTGCCAGCCCTTATATATAGAGTGTTTGTTTTCCTCCTCTCTCGCCTCCAAACAGTAGATATATTTGTTTATTATTTTGAGACTGTTGTTAAAGTCTGTTGCAGTTGATTGAGTTTGACAACCCCCCCCCCCACCCCCCCGCCCCACCATCCGTCATAGATGATAAAATATCACATGATCTGCAAGTGCGGTGCAAATTGTGTCGTTGGAAACTTGAGGCAAAGATATTTTTATGACAGTATTTCGTATCAACCACAGTGGTCAATTTTTATCACACAGTAAATCATCTGAGACTCATTCTAATTGTGAAACCAAACCAAGTCTTGAGCCTCAAAATACCCTCTCTCCGAGCTGCATATTGTCCCCACGAGGACACCGTGCCCCCACAGCAGTAGTATTTTTATTTATTTTTGGTTCAAGAAAGTCCCCACAAGTATAGCTTTACACACAACATACCCTCACACACACACGCATAAACACACAATCACACAAACACACAAACACACACTGCCCTCTATATTATAATTAGCTTCTGGCTGCACTCCAGTGGAATCAATATCCCACCCGTCCAAAAAATCCAGCCTCACCTTTCCCATCGTTGACTGCCAAAGTCATAGTTGTTTCTGAGCAAATCAATCTCTCAGCCATGTGAAACAGCCTCCACTAATACAGACAAAACACCGCACGCGCTCCACCATAATCCTCCCTCGCCATCTTCATCCTTCGGCCTGACCTTGCCGCGCCGCTAACATTACACAACATCACACATCCTGGCAATTCACCCCCCCACACGCCCTTTTGCACCTCGTTGTAATTCAAGCACCTTATTCATTACCCGGCCGGTGACCTTTTCACACGTATGCAAAAAAAAAAAAAATGCACAAGGTCTGAGACGGTGCAGAAATGATCCTGACACATGTGAGACAGCGAATCACCAACCTGGATTAAAGTGGAATATCCAGACCCCGTGTCAGAGAGAGTGATGTGGCTGGCATTTAAAGTCAATTATTCTGTAGCACACAGTTATTCAGCAGTCATTAAGTTGATTCCAGCGTGCGGTCGTGATGGATATGACGTCTGATCAGATTCTACACTCTCACTTTTTTATCATTTATAAGATGATTGTGCTGTGTTACGCTGTTTAATGTATGGACAAATGAGGGTTAAGTTAATTTTGAGAGACACAGAGAGAAAACTGTTGACGTCCACCAATATCATTTGTCATTGTCATTAGGCCCTACATCACTTCCTGTTCAGTTTCCGTCTTAGAAAGAATGCCCATTTTTGTCTCTATTTGTCTGTTTGTAATTCGACAAAATAAACCCAGATGCCTGAGAAATAGAAGAGACACTAGGACTGATTTAACTCTACAATTTGTTTTGTTTTTTTACTTGATTTACTTTGTCTGGAGCAACAGGAGTGTAAACAGTAAAACCGTTTTGTTTTTTTTAAAATTTGATTTACTTTGTCTGTAGCAACAGGAGTGTAAACAGTAAAACCGCTGCTCTGACTCTGGTTCCTACCTGGAGTTGGTCATGTCCGCCTGCCCTCCTTGACTCTTCTCCAGCCCAAGTTTGGTGAAAATTCCCACCAGCACCATGATGGCCACTACTCCACAGATTATATACACAACCATGTAGGTCCGGTCCTGGTCTGGTTCCTGCGGGGCCTCCGTGACAGCTGCCACCGGTTTGCCCGTGTTGGCCCACACAGGTGTGTCGTAGTTGGAGCAGGAAGTCTGGTCCAGGCTGTGGATTTTGAACTGGCAGCAGAAGCGGTAAAAACAGGACCCACAACAGAACATGTAGATGCCAGCGTTGCAGTTGAACGGCGGGTCCCACTGACCCATGACGTCATAGTACCCCCAACACCGGTTACTGCCACCCAGGACTGTCTGCTCCTCTGATTTAGGTGTAGGCGTGGCCAGGGCAGATTCTATCGCCGTCGAGGGCGCCGTTGTCTGGTTGTTGGTGTTGGTGTTGATCTGAGCCAGAGCCTGACCTGAGGGTCCGGGGCTCAGGCCAGGGTTGGAGCTCGGACCCAGGAGAACGGCCAAGAAGACGCTCATCAAGAGTGAATGCTTGGAGAGGTGCATTCTGGACTCTGTGGTCTGTCAGTGATTCAGAGCTGATGTGTAATTGTTGAGCAGCAGAATTAGCTCCTAGAAAAGAGGGGAAAAAGGATATAAAATAAAAATATATTTCAAACTGAATCAATCCGTCCGTAAGGTAATAGAAAGCTCTAAACACTAATGGAAGGAGTTTATTCTGCGCCTCCGCCTGCGGAGAAATAAAAGCAGCTTTAAATTAGTGCTGTGGGGGAAATTACTGCACACATTCACAGAGCAGTGACTGGGCGTCCAAGGGCAGAGGAACAAGTGGGTAAAGGAAATCAATCCCCCATCTTAATATGCTTCTAATCGGAGGGAACGAGTCCCCTGTGAGGAGACACAGACTGTTGTCAGTGGGTGTGTGTCTGTGTGTGTAATAAATGTCCAGAGGTTCTGGTGATGTCACCTTTCACAGAGCCACATGTCACGTGCAGACAGGAGTTTGTAGACGAATCCAAATCCAGAGGCTCGGAGGTAAATCCTTACAAATGCATCTGCCTTTGTCTTCCCGTACCTCCTCACTGATTGGATGAAATTATCTGGAGATTCACAGCTCCGACCAGACAGCCTCTCACTCCACAGACGGACATGTATTCCTGAGAACTTTTATGGTCCAGTTGAGTCTCAACGAGAAGGAGTGTTCTGGAGAATTCCCTCCCAGAGTCTGAGTGGTTCTCCTGCTCTGTGGATCACAGGAACCTGTGGAGCCGTTCTGTGTTTGTTGTGCTCATCTTTTCACTGCCACTCTGATGAGTTTTATTCCCTTTTTGTCAAACGTCCAGGTTCAGTCACAGCTGTCTTTCTGACTGATTAATGTTCTGCCTTTGGTTGGTTAAGTGGTTGAAAAAGTAACTTTGACAAGATTCTTATTTGCCCGAAAGGAAAAAAAAAACAACAACAATTGAGAGCTCTGTCGTGGTTACTCCGGTGTCTGTGTGTGTCCAAGCTGAGGTCCTGAGGAGCTTACAGTCCACAGACGGGTTTTCCCCTCAGAGACGTGCAGGTTTACACACACAGGAGGTGAAGTCCTCTGTCAGTGTCTCTGTGTTGGTTTTAGTTGACAAATAGAAGTCCAGTTTAGGCTGTCCTGACCTGCACTCTGCAGTGAGACCCTTCCTGTCCCCCCGTGAATCCCTGGGTCTTGGACAGACCCAGGACACCAGCTGGGCACTCGCTGTCTATCACCCGCTCAGTGCTGCCCTACAAGTGCTCAGTCCAAAGGAAGGGAAGAGGGGAGGAGAGAGAGCGAGAGAGCGAGAGAGAGAGAGAGAGAGAGAGAGGAGAGGGAGGGCTGACGCTGGGATACTGATACTGAATCGCTAATCTTTATGTCTTAGTGCTGCTCCTGCATCTGACAGAAGCTGAAAAAAAAACGGAAAAAAAACGCTGGAATTAGAGCCAATGCCGCCACATTAAAGATTTTTTTTAAATGCCTTTCTTTAAATCTTCTGATCTTGTTTTAGGCTCAGTTGATTTCTTTGTTTGTACTTGGTTTGATCTTAATCTTCTGTCCCTGATTTTTTTTTTGTTGGTTTGTTGGTTTGAGTCTGTCTTCGACTACTTACCTCCTCTCTTCTTTTAATGACCTGAGGAAGTATCGGTCTGGGGTCAGAGCGCCTGTGGACTAGCCTCTGCCCTTTTAGCCTCACTTGCACAAGCCTAGTGGGGATAATTCTGTCCGAGTCTATATTTGGCTGACAGTGACAAGTGGAGATGCGACGGCCAAACAGCGACGGCGCTGAAGGAAGATCATAAATGTCCTGTTTTCAAAAGAAGCACACCTTTGGTGGGCACGGGCGCCGCTGCAGCCACAGCTCTGGTCAGGGCTGACTCTATCGCCTCACTAACTCACTTGCCAGATTTCTCAAATTGAAATTTTCAATGTCGTCAATGGTTTTGGGGTTTTCACTGTCGCACAAATAATTTTCTCAGAGCATTCGTGTGCAACAGTTTGTAAACAAACGCTGCAGATTTTTTCGCCCCAGTTTTAGTGCCATAGATTCACCCTGGCTGTCAATTGAGTCCTTGTCCGTCTGCGGCTTCTTTGAAAACAGTCATAATTTGATATATATGTATATAGAGTTTTATATATATATCACATGTATGTGTTTTCACTGGTGCTCTGCTTGTGGGAAGCTCCAGGGAAAGTGCAAAAAAAACCCAGGAGAAGTCATAAAATGTTTGCTTTTTTTATTCCATCCTTCTCCATCCCTGCTGCTGCTGCTTCTTCTTCTCCGTCAGTGTGTACAGTATTCCATCTCTGTGCTGCTGCGATCGCTCTGCTCTGCTCAGCTCACTGCGTCTGAAGTCCGTCGTTCGCTGACGTTCGATGCTGCTGCGGCTGTTGTTGTTCTGTGGCAGAACACTACACGTACAAGCTCTCTCTCTCTCTCTCTCTCTTTCACTCACTCCTCCCTCTCACAATACACTCCTCCCTCTTTTTCCCCACTCCTCCTATTCCTCCTCTCTCTCTCTCTCTCTCTCTCTCACACACACACTTTCTCTCTGAGTAAATAAGTGTTTGCTGACTATCCCTTTCACTTCTCTCCTCCACCCTCAATCATCATGTGTCACCGACTCCCTTCTCTTTTTTTCTCCCCCATTTGTTCGACTCTTTACTGGGTTTTTTTCTCTCTCAGTTTTATCCTCTTCTGCTTTTTATATTTCATGTTTTACTGTTCTGTCTCAAAAACCTTTACATTTTAGGTTTGACTTCCACACTTGTGTCCTATAATTTCCCCCCCTCTCCCACACCTACATAGATTTATCACCAGCTTCCTATCCTGAAATTCCCGTCAGCAACAGAGCTGCCTGTGTCAGCAGGTTGAAATGGGGATTCGTGCGTGTGTGCGTGAGCGAGCGCGCGTGCGTGCGTGCGTCTTGTATTTTGGCTCTTGGTAATTACCCAGCTAATGCCTCTGCACATCCTCGTCTTTGTGTGAGTGAGTCTGGAACATGTGTGGTGCTGCAGTCTGAAGGGGCTGATTAAGGGGAGAGAGGGGGAGGGAGGGAGGGAGAGATGTGGGGGGTAGAGAGATGTAAAGATCCGAAAAGGAAGGCCAGAAAGCAGGATGGAAGGAGACGATGACAGCCCAGTGGCTGCCAAAGAAAGGGGGGAGAAAGAGGCTTGAAGGAGAGGAGACGGTAGAAGGAGAAGGATTTAAAATACAATGTGTTAGCAGGAGGAATAAGAAGGGACAGAGGGATAGGAGGGAGTGGAGGAAATATAAGGGTGGGGGGGGGTGTGTAGACAGGTAGGGGGACAAAAGGGAGAGCGGTCCTAAGG